AAATGGTCAAAGGCAAAACTCATATGTAAATAGAAAAAAAAAAATGTCTTTGGACCGGATAGTAGCTGTGACAAATAAATTGGGCCAAGTCCATATGCTATTACATTATATTTATTTTATAAATTGTGACTTAGTTTTTTACAATTTCGAAATTAAAGGTAAGGGTAATTTTGTATATTCAAGTTTTACCCTAGTGAGGGAATATTGCTTTCCGCAAGGCCTAAACAAAAAGATTCTCAATTTCAATCTCAAATTGGGATATGAAACCTCTCAATATTATCATCTATTTTAAAAATATAAGATGTTCAAGCAGTCAAAGAATCATCTTTGAAAAAATATATATAAATATAAATTTTGATTCGATTTACCTTTTTAATTTTTCTCTTTTCACTTGAAAAATGTGTATGAAGATAAAACTAGGAGGAAAAAAAAAGATTGGGAATAAAATTATAAATGAAAAGGATTTTTTTTATCAATTTGGAAAGATTAAAGTTAAAAAAAGAAAAAGAAACAAAAATCCATAGAGTTATTTTCCTATCATTTCCATCCAAGTGGACCAAAAGAAAAGAAGAAAACAACATAATTCTCGTTATACTCGTTTGCTTTCTTTCTCTTTCCGTCTTATCAAACTCCTAATTAAGGCATGACCAGAGTTGTTATAACCTAGTCGCTGACAACAACAAATCGGATAGAATTAAGCACCTAACACAGGTCAGGCATGACGTCCTTCCTTCCTTGCTAGCAGAAAGACCAAAATTGTTTGCCTCTAGACTCTAGAGCACGGTTGCTGTCAAATGCATTTTTGTTAGGAAAGGGAAGAAACAGAGTGCAGATGGCATCAAACGCTGAAGCTTAAATTTGAACTTGTTCTCGATCATCACTATATATTATGCAGTTGGAAGCTATCATTGACACCCGCTTTTTCTTACACAACTTTTGCCTTGCTACTCTCAATCTTTTGCATCTCCATTACAATATTAATACACTTTTATGGGTACCATTTTTTCTTATATATGAGTTTCAAATATATCCACTCTTCCAATTTCGACATGAGATTAAATATATGTATATGTTACATCAGTTGAAGACCATGATGGCTACAATCTGAACATGTGCAACAAGACATACACCTATTAATGACCCAATGAATCTCATATCAAAATTAAGTTCACTGCAAGGTTTCGACAATTTTCTAGTTGGGGGAGGATGCCCTTTACACTTGTAAATCAAATAAGTTCATTGAACAAGTGTTAAGACCACGTGACCTGTTTTTGATGTTGGATCCAACTCTCAACTGTATGTCAACTTTACTTTCTTTGTTTCTTTTTAATCTTTCCCCTGTTTTCTTTTGTTTTAATTTGGTGTTCTTTGCAAGTGATTTCTTTTGTCTCGCTTCTCTAGCGAGTGAGTGACCATGTATAATAATTTAATAATTATTATTTTTTATAAAAAAGAAAATATTTTATAAAGGAAAGAAATAATTAGAAAAAGCCAAAAATAAATGACTCATTCTTGGAGTGTAGCCATGTGACACACACCAGGTAGTTGCAAATTGCAACCTTTTGCAATAACTTTTGAGTGTGGAGGCAAATTGGACCACCCACGTTTCCGATATCACACCAAATCCTAACAACAACATGGCTCCCTTTGGGTTGTAGGGTGCACCCACTTTCTCTTCCATGGCTTTGATTCTTTTTTATTATGAATCTCATTTTTTTAAACTATTATAATAATTTTAAAAAATAATGTTCTTCCCCAAGATCCTACTTGCAAGTTTGCAACCCTAACAAGTTGGGTAATTTATTTGTGATCATGATTGGCTTCCTCTGTTCTGGTTTGCTGCATTGATTACTTTGCTGATAAGAAAGAAAACTATATTTTATTTGCTCATACTTTCACCTGTGGTTGCTTTTTGGGTTTTTTCTCACTTTTTGGCAAAGCTTTTTCCAATGGCAATGGCATGGTATCCAAGAAAATTCCCCACTTAGATCCTTTGCTTTTCCCCTTTTCTCTTATAGTACTGTAATATTACCAACTATAATGGCAATTTTTTCCTTGGTCCATGTGACAAATTCCAATATCATAAGATCTGCAGGACAAAGAAAAGATTAGACCTAAACTGAAACCAATGCATTGTCTTATCCAAGTTTTTGGAGAAACAATGATTTCAAGCTCCTTTTTAATTTTTTTTTAAATCATTCTTTTAGAATTTCTCCTCTTTTCCCTTCTTTTTTTTTTTAGTAATAACACTGATCTTCGTTTCGATTTATTATTGCTCTCAAATTAAGTCCAATCTTAGGAGAAAGCATTCAAGTTGACCATGTGACATTCAATTTGGATCTCTAATCATTTATGTCTTTATTTAAATGCTAGTAATTAGTTGCTAACTTAGTAAGACAGCTATGGAAGTAGGAACCAAGAAATCGGTTGAACGAAGACAGCTAAAAACTTGCATTCAGTATTTGTTTACAAATCAAATTATAGATTTTATATCATGCAAAACTAGTATTCTATCTGCTCTATATTTCTAGCTTATTAATTTTGTTTTTTTAATATTCATAAGTATATAATATGGCTGTACCAAAATTTAAGACAACTAGGTGAGCTTTTTGGGGCAAATTTAGGTTAGCTTCGTCACTTTTTTTTCCCTTTAATGGACAATGGCCCATTTTTAGTAATTTAAACCATGCAAATTAAAATGATTCAGAAAGCTCAAAGGCTGAAATCAAAGACCATTTTTAAAATTTTAAATTGGATAAATGATTAGGTTAATGCTTCCATGATGCTTACAAATAAAGGTTCCAAAGTAATCAAACATTAAATATATATATAATTCAAGAAAATGCTAAAGAAAGTGAGGTTGTACCTTCTCAATTTTTCTTCTTCTTTTGGATTCTTCATGCACCAACTTCAAACCTACTCCTCCCTTAGTGACTCCATAAAGTTTCTCTAATCAAAATATGTAGTAATTAACTCATTGTTGTACTTTTTACATTATACCTTTTGTTGGTAATATGTTATCCTACTTTCATGGTTTCACTTTATCCTTATCTTTATCATAATTTTATCTTATTTAGCATTTTACGCATAATTAAAAATTAGGATCGAGATGATACGCAACTTCAAATCTAAAACCAAACAGGCCTTAGTTTAAAATTAAGGCGTAGTTTGACAATTAACCGAGAGAGGAATTGGAGGGGAGCGGAGGAGAGGAAGGGGATTTGCCATTTTGACAGTGAAGAGAGCAAGGATCGCACATGCCAAGGTGCACCTTTGGGGCTAAACCCGAGTGGATCACAGTCATATTAGCAGGAAATAAAAGCGCTGGTGGGTCTGCAGTAAACGACCCAGGTTGTCCGCTTCGTTTTCCGTACCCGCTTGTGCGCATGTTAGCCAAGAGCAGAGAATAATCCAGACCTGCTGGAGGAGGGAAGACCAACTGGGCCAATAAGAAAGCGCCATCCTGGAAAAATTTAAGACTCCCGAAGCCGGCCTTTAGCTTATGTAATCATTCAAGAAAAAGAGCAATTCCCTGAGCCCGGCGCATTTTAGCACTCTGAGAGAGAGGGGAAGCAAAGCACATGGGGTGCTGAAACAATGGTGTGTTTTTTGCAGTGACTGCAACACAAGAGCTTCACAATTATTTTTATTTTTACGAGTCACCCTTATCTGCTAAGGTATATAATACACTAATCATTGCCTTGGGTTTGTCAACTCATCGGGATTTTGCAGCTTGTTGTGGTCAACTCTTTTGTGATTTGCTGTTAATTCAATGGTTGCCATCCAATATCAAAACACTAGTATTACTATTAACTATAACTAACTATTAAGCTTCTTTTTTGGAAATTCTTTTGGGTAGGTTTTTGTGTAAATAGGGTAATTTCAACTATGGTTACAACAATTATATGATTTATATATTACATGATTCTTTAATTAAAAAGATATTTAAATATAAATTCCATTGATAAAAGACTTATAAAAGAAGTTAAGAATTTAAAACTAAAACTCATAGAGAATACATTAATATGCTACACATCTCTTTAAACTCTCAATTGTAACGTTTTAACCTCTTTCATCCAAAAAATAAGCAAATTCAATCCTCTTGAGGAAAGGAATTAAGACAATGAAATAAACAAAATACAAATTGAACTGTAGCACATCATTATAATAGCAATAAATTGATGAAAATACAATGAAAATCATTCTTCAAACTTAAGCATCATTCTCTTCTTATTTTAAATTATTTTAATCTACAAGCAAAGGGGAAAAAAGCCCAATTTGTTATCATTTTTGTACATAGAAAAAATATAAAAAAAAAAGAAAAAAGAAAAAAGAAAGAGCAACCAAAAATTTGAAAAGTGAACATATTCAATGTGGGCCTTTCGTGCCAACTACATTTATTGCTCCCATTGAAATCCACTTAAAAGAAAAAAAAATTAAAATAATATAGAAGAAAGAACATGAAAATAAAAAATAAATCTGTAACATCCAGGGGAGATTATATTAAGTCCCAGCTGGTTGTGTCGGCGTAGAGTATAGCATTCCCATAAGCTCCCTCTCTGCCGCTCTCCCCCGAAAAGAATAAAATAAAATAAAATAGTGAGTTAATTAAGTTTTAACCTTTGGTTAACTACTAACCGTCTTGCTTAGTTACTTAACCACCTTCTCTCTCCCCCCCAACAAAATTCCTAACTTAAAAAACAAAGTTTGAAAAATTTTCTCTTTTGTTTCCTGCTATAGAGTGAAGTGAAAGAGAAAGCTTTTGAGAACTCAAAAGCAATGAGAAAAGGAGGAGAGGATCGTAGACGAAGATTTCGATGGCTTTGAATAATGATCATTGAGCGATTCTTTTTGAATTGAAACGCATTGGCAGCATTGGAATTGAAGCGAAGAATCCGACAATGATTCCGAGATCCGGAGAAGAAATGTTTTAAGACGAAAGTGAATTGATTTTTACTCTTTTTTTCTCGTCTTAATTGCTTTCTTGTTTCGAAATTTGAAATTTGGAAAAAAGATCGAGTAAAGAGTTGATAGCAATGGAGTCGCGAATGGATCATTACGAGATAATGGAACAGATCGGCCGCGGCGCTTTCGGTGCTGCCATTCTCGTTCACCACAAATCCGAGAAGAAAAAGTATTTTTCTTTTACTTTCTCCCTTTCTGAACCTTTTATAATGTGTAATTATTTTTTTATTATTTATTTTGTTTTGAAAACTCTTCAGGTATGTGTTGAAGAAGATCAGATTGGCGCGGCAAACGGAGCGTTGCAGGAGATCTGCACATCAAGAAGTTAGTTAGTTAAATAATTCTAATTTGTTTTTGAAGTAAAATAATAGAGAGTTTAATTTTCAAATTTATAATTTGGTGTGAATTTTGTGGAGTGTAGATGGCACTTATTGCGCGAATTCAGCATCCTTACATTGTTGAATTTAAGGAAGCTTGGGTTGAGAAAGTAAGATACTTTACTACTTTTTTGTTGTTTTGCTACGATTCTTGAATCAAAAACTACTTTTAATAGTAGCTTGTTAAGTAAGAGACACCTTTTTTTTTTATGTTGATTCTGAGCTTTCTGATTGTAATGTAGGGTTGCTATGTTTGCATTGTTACTGGCTACTGTGAAGGTGGAGATATGTGAGTTTCTGAGCATGTATCGAATATTTTGATATGGAGTTTTTGGAATTTGAATCTGTAATTTTTGCAATGTGTCGAATTGTTCTTATTGTTATTCTTTTAACAGGGCTGAATTGATGAAAAAATCAAATGGGGTGTATTTCCCCGAGGAGGTAATATTCTTTCTTTATACCTTTTGATTGTACAATTTAGTTTCTTCTTGTGTTATGACCTATAGTTAACAGTAACATTGATGCTTATGAACATTGTGCAGAAACTTTGCAAGTGGTTCGCACAGCTGCTTCTGGCAGTTGACTATCTGCATTCAAATTTTGTTCTGCATCGGGACCTAAAGGTATGTGTGTAAATTTAGATTAGTCTTTCTATTAACTAATGATTTATGTCATTTTTGTGGCTACTTTGGCAGTGCTCCAACATATTTCTTACCAAAGACCAAGATGTCCGCCTTGGTGAGTTTGTCTTTTCCCTTTTCTTCATGGTTTCTTACAGATTCTCTCACTTTTTCCCTTTTTTTTTTCATCATTGATTTCTATTAGATACCCTACTTGATTGTATATGTTGTGATTGTTACCCTAAACTCTCTTTTCTGGTCTGTACTGGTTTAGGGGATTTTGGCCTTGCCAAGACTCTGAAGGCAGATGATTTGGCTTCCTCGGTATGTACTATGTAATGAAATTGTTATTTTGATAACCTTTTATTTTTATTCTTTTTCAACTATCTCCAATGATGGAAAAGATTTTTTGGGTCATTTTTTCTACCATTTCTCTTCTTTTTCTTTCTAAACTTGGGTAATAAGCTTATGCTACTAAGCTCGAAAACAGAGACATTTGTTAATATATGTGTCTGTTTGCTCGTGCCTCAACTTCCCTGTTCATTTTATGGAAAAAATCTTGCATGGTATGGTAGCATGGTACTCAGACAGTAGCTAATATATAACATATTCCACTTTATCAGGTTTTCTGTCACAGTCTAATATGTTGAGGAACTGATACCATAAAAACTAAAAAGATGTGTTAAGATGAACAGGCCTAGTGTGTCCGCAGCTTTCAGTTGAACTTAGTGCTAATTTTAGTTTTATCTGCTGAGAACAAATTGTTACTAATTGCCAAGTGAAAATTAAAATAAGACCAACTTAATTAACATAAATAATCATTTTTTTCTTCAAGAAAACAATTAAAAGCAAAAAAAGAATCTCTCATTGATACCTTAGTATTTTGTGGGCTGGACTCAATTGCTGAGTAATTAAGAATATGTACATGTATGCAAATTCTAGTTAGTTAGTTAAAGTGGGCTTATATTTGGCAATAGGAGAGAGATGTTCTTAAATTTTTTGAATTTTCTTGTATTAAGGATTTACTTAAAAGAAGCTAAAAATTGCAAAATGATTACATATTGGAGTGATGGAAATTAACCGCCACTCATATGTCTTATCATCATAAATGTCCAAAGATATAAGTTTTGTCTATAACAGTATCTATTGGGTTAGATTTTGTACTCCTCAATCCCTGCCCTCACACTTGGTATATTTGGACAATGGCAGTGGGGAGGAGGGAGTTAAAACCTGCACTTTGAGCCTCCAATGGTGGGGTATGGTAACAATCACTAGTTCAAACCTAGGTGTTCTCAAACCCTGTATATCGACAACCGACCATACTAAGAGTTTGGACCTTTTTCAGTAAACACAAAAATCATTTACCTTTGATATCATTTTTCATTTTGTATTTATTCTTCCTTATATAAGATTGTGCCCACTATTTGTGGTTCCACTGCATATTAATAGTTTTTTTATACATGGCTCAGGTGGTTGGAACTCCCAATTACATGTGTCCTGAATTGCTTGCTGATATTCCTTATGGTTTCAAGTCTGATATCTGGTCTCTGGGTATGTCTTTTCCTGAGTATATATTTGACATGTATAGATTCTTTTTTTTGACTAAATTACTTCTTGTTGAACAGGGTGCTGTATGTACGAGATGGCTGCTCATCGCCCTGCTTTTAAAGCTTTTGTAAGAGTTCTCACAGTTCTTTTGCTTGAATCTGTTTCTTGTATTCTGTAATGAGCTTGCAGCAACCCTTCTTTTTAGGTGAAAATTATATTCCATTTTGGCAAGTAGCATGTATTTCATTCTATATTATATTAAGCCAGGTAAAATTTCTAAGTTTTTGCTTCTTTTATTTTATTTTGGCATTTTCAGCATTTCCAAATGTAACAAAACTTTCTATCTGCTGTTTGTCTTAATTAGGAAGAAAGAGTAGCAACCTTTGTTAGGTTCATAACAGTTTTCTTTAAATTCCATGCTCCACTCTTTAAACAATGCTTTCAAAGTACTTAATTTTGTCTACTTGTCTGGTGTGATGTGATGTCCTTTGAAAGGTTTTCTGCAACTGCTAATTTTCTGCCTTCACTAACCATGTAAATTATACAAATTCGATTCAACTAATTTCTATCAAACTTTTTGTTCTAGGACATGGCTGGGTTGATAAGCAAGATAAATCGTTCCTCTATTGGCCCTTTGCCTTCTTGCTACTCTCCATCCTTGTAAGTCTTTATGCATTTTGGTAGAGCTCACTGTTTTTGTATGCTTTCATGATTACGAAGTATTCTCCATGATGTTTTATGCTCTGACTGTGCTTTTTAATGCTTTAAATTTTTCTCATTTTTCGTATTTCTTTATGATTTATTTTGTTCCATTTCTTCTAGGAATTGCTTCTTCTGTGCTACATAACTAGTGTATTTCATATCAACTCTTGGTTTCTACACAGTTTAACTTAGTTTCGGCTAGTTCTCAAATTAATGCTTAATTGCCAGGGTGTTTTGTCTCAACATACTATTTATTCTTTTTGTTTCCTTTTTCACTTTCAATTTAATTTTTATTTTTCTATATTTTATATTGGGATGAATTGCAGATCTCTGAAACAAATTCTTTCTTATGCATCTAGGAAAGTTGAAACTAGTTTCTACAAAAAGTGGAAACTCTGTTTTTTCCCTTTGTGGAACCAATAAAGCACAAAATATTGAATCTTCACTTAATTTCCCAAGGGACTGAGTAATCTGTATTTTGGTAGCACCACTAAACATGTTTAATGCTTTATCATATTTCAAATAATGATCTTGTCACTACATGATAGTTAATTTGCTTAATGTTACACACACAGGAAAACGCTTATCAAGGGCATGCTAAGAAAGAATCCAGAGCATCGACCCAGTGTAAGAGTTTCTATTTGTCCTCTTAAGAATTCTTCACCTGCAGGACTTAAATATAACAATTTGATTTTTCACCTTGGTTAGGCATCAGAGCTTTTGAAGCACCCTTATTTGCAGCCATATGTTGATCAGTATCGTCCATCCTTCAGCTGCCCTTCGACAAATTGCTCACCGGATAAGCATATTTCCGCTAATCGTGATACTAGGAAAAATATGGCTGAGAGTCAGAATAGTAATAGCTCATGTAGTGATAAAGATAGTTTGCTTTCAAGTGACAGAAATACTGCCACAATGGTTTCAAATAGCAATAGTAAGGCCACTGACACAGATGCAATTTCTATTGATGATGAAGATGGCACTGAGCAGCACCCAGCTAGCGAAGAAGAGAATGGCCCCACTATTTGCACTACCAAAGGTGATGAAAAAGTAATAGTAAAACCTTCTTATATGGAACAGGGATCTAACATTCAATCAAAGCAACCAAAAACCATAAAAAGTATAATGATGGCTTTGAAAGAAGGGAAAGTAAGAGAAAATGGTTCCCCAGTGAGAGGCAACCGTACAAAAGCTGTAGGTGGTTTGACTCAAAGAAATAATATAGAGGCATCACCCAAAGTTCTGAAGCCACCTGCTCCTGCTCTGGGTTCAAAGTCTAATGCAGATACACCAACAGTTGCTTCAGCAAAATTACCATTAGATGCTGCAAAAAGGATAACAGGATCACACACTTTAAAGCACCAGGTATGATTGCCAGTAACTGTTTTGTCTTTTAATTAAAAACTTTATTGGTATCTTCACTCATTTTTCAAGATTCATCTCTCCAGTTGCCTTTGATTGATTCCTCCCCAAAGACTAAACCTAGACACGAAGGGATTCCTCCACCTGCTCCTGGGAGGCATGTTGTTGAAGATGGATTATCTTCTAAGCCAAGGCAAAGAACTCCTCCTTCCAATGTGGCAAGAAGATCATTGATTACGGGCAGAATGAAGCATGCAGGAACTGATGTTTCAAATGTGGCAAGTAACATACCAAGGTTAGGATCTACAGAGATAAACCAGGAGCGTGAAGCCATTCCTCGTCAACTGCCCAATGGTTGCCTTATAAATGCTTCTGGGGAGGTTATGCAAGAGCCTGAGATAGCTCTAAGTGTAACTACCAAGGGGGTGCAAACAGATAGCAGTAATTCTATCTCCTCTTCAATCTCAATTCAAGCATTTGAGATATGTGATGATGCAACAACCCCTTTTATTGACATGACAGAACAGACACATGATCGTGAGATAATCACCCACATCAAGAGCTTGGAATCACATCCACTATTCAGCTCTCCTGCTTCTCTGCAATCAAAGATGCCTGAGGTTCTGTCGAGAGAAAGCCATGGGCACGATCATAAATCAGTAACTTGTTCAACTGAAGAATCTGGTCCGGCCCAAGATCTTCTGGATTTCACTTCAGTTGATGGAAGAGTGAGTTTGAGTGCCCCTTTGGACCTTCCACTCCCAAGTTCTGAAGAAATATCTGTTCATAGAGATGATACCGCTGTAAGCAGGGCAGTTTGTAGAGATGACAATCCTTTAAGCAGGACAAGTAGTAGGGATGTTGCTCCTTTGAGCAGGACAAGTAGCAGGGATGATGCACCTATAAGCACGCCAAGTCGTAGGGATGATGCCCTTATAAGCACTTTAAGTCGTAGGGATGATGCCCTTATAAGCAGGCCAATTATCAGGGATGATGCCCCTATAAGCAGGCCAATTATCAGGGATGATGCCCCTATAAGCAGTTTGAGTAACAGGGATGATGCCTCTATAAACAGGTTAAGTAGTGGGGAAGATGCCCCTGTAAGTGGGCCAACTACTGGAGAAGATTCCCCCATAAGCAGGCCAAGTAGTAAGCATGAAACTGTGGCAAGCAGACCTAGTAGTAGGCCTGATATGATGCTCCATTCAAATCTTTCTTCTGCATCCAGTGGTGATGACAAGTTCACTGTAATGGAACTTCTATCATCGGTTGCAGAAACTATGCCTTGCATTGCCTCGCCAATTTCATCTAGCCAGAAGAATTCACAGCCAGATAAAGGAATTAATCTGCATAATCCAGCAATTGAAAAACCAGGTGCGACCTCTCGTCCTCCAGCTTTTGATGATGTTATACATGTTATAAGGCACAGTAGCTTCCGAGTTGGCAGTGAGCAGCCAGTGATAGAAAAAGTAGAAATGGGTGTTCAAAATGTGGATGTTGGAAAACTCATAAATGTTGTGAGGGATGAAATAGATATGAGAAACATGACTAGTCCTGTGACCCTTAAGTCATCAAGTTGCTCTGAAGCTTTAAGTTCAAAATCAAATGCTTCGGATTATTCCGGTGTTAAAGAAACGGAAGATAGGAACCCCATTTCCTCATCTCCAAAATCTGATTCAGCAGAGCCTGTGAAAACCAGCTCTTCTGTGACAGAAGAGGAGACTTCAGCAAAGGAAACTTTGGATGTCAAATCTTTTAGGCAGAGGGCAGAGGCACTTGAAGGGCTTCTGGAATTGTCTGCAGAGTTACTGCAGCAGAACAGATTGGAAGAGCTCTCAGTTGTTTTGAAGCCTTTTGGGAAAGATAAGGTGTCACCGAGGGAGACAGCTATCTGGTTAGCCAAGAGTCTGAAAGGAATGATGATTGAGGAGTGTGGACGGAGTTCATGAAGTAATATTTCTGGGGGTAAGCCTTCTGTTTTGTTTTTACTTTTATTTATTCACGTTGCTGTGGTAATTGTTAGCTTCGTATCATGCTTATCACCTTTCACTTCCATTTGTATTTTTAAACAGAAAAACCAGGTCTTCTCCTTTTACCTCATTCTGTAATTCTTTCAATGCATTTTGTTGTTGTAAATAGTTGACAATACGAATTAAGTAAACTTGTTGTCCGGAGAAATGTACGGATATGCTATAGAACGTGGTGAATGCAAACCAAAGTGCAATTGCTATGATTTTTATCGGCTGTTTGGACATTGCAGCAATGCATATAGATCTCTGGATTTCTTTTTCCGGATATATCGAGCTTATGATTTGTTTTTTTAAAACTGCTTGCAGGACATCACTTCCCCTTAGCATTGTCAAAGCATTTCCATTTTACATTATCTGAATCAAGTGAGAATCAAAAGAAATCTTTGAAGAAGCAAACTGGCAAAACATTTTGATCATGTTGACTTTAATCGTAACCAGAAATGGCAAAACTTACGTTGTTAGATGATTTGAAGTTAAAATTTATAAGCTTTGCCAAATGCTAGTTTTAACAAAAGAAATGGTAATTTTAAGTGATATAAGAGAATCCTTTATTGTTAATCTCATTCTACTCATCTTTAATTCTCACTGTGAAATATGCCTTCTGGCACGAGCCTGAAATGCTTTTTCTTTGCCAATAGAGATTCTTTTGTTTATACAGTTTAGAGACACATCAAGGAATGAAGGAAGTATTTCAACCTAGTTAGAGTAGCTAGCACATCCTTTTTCCAATTGAATACCAAACCAATCAGCAGTCATGTTTATTCACATCTTCAAACCATTTGAGCTAAACTTTAATTTGTTTTTTGTTGTTTGCCATTGGAGCAAAATCTCAAACGAAATTGAAGTATTTGAGTTAATTAAATATATTAATATATTAATTAAATATCTTTTCTTTTATGGTACATGAGTATTTGTGTTAAATGTTAAGAGGTAATATTTATTTTTCATTTTACTCCGGAATTTAAACTTGTTGACACATTTATGCATTGAGGAGGTAGTTGCATGCATGTTACATATACATACATATTGTTTCAGATGGAGGTCGCCTCTCGCCTCCTCCTCTCCAGCCATCCACGTCACTATTTAAAGCATTTCCCCAAAAGAGAAAAATCTTAATATATATATATATGTATATCTTGTTAAAAGAATTTTATATTTTGAATTATATATTAATTCTATTTATGGTCTAACTCTAATTAAATAACAATATTATACTCTAACCAGTTAATTAATCAACCATTGTAATCTAACTAGCCAATTACCCAATACTAATATTGTATTTCGAACTATATCAATGAATTTGTACAATTATCTTAACACTTCCCTCAAACTCAAAAAGTGATTCTGTAGATACCAAATTCAGTTTGGAAACTAACTCCTGATATCGGTTAGTGGCTAAACAATGATCTCCAATGACAATACATCATTTTTTGGCATTCAATTAGAAAACTTTTCATACTTTGGACCCGTAGATTGTAGTTGCTTTTAGTCAAAACGGTTGCAATTGGCATAAATACTTCATATTTCTCCATCTTACAATCAAAATTAGCAGAAACAGAGATCAAAATGAAAGAATTAGTGATTTTACCAAAGTATAGATGTGGCAAAACATTTGATATATAGAACATGTGACAAAATACATGACAAAACATATGACAGATTATGTGGCAAAACACGTAGTAAAATACATCATAGAGCACATAATAGAATACATGATAAGAAAAGTAATAGAATACATGACAAAATATGTGACAAAATAAGTGATGGATTCATGATTGAACACATAACACAACATGTGTGATGTGGCAGAAAAAATGGCAAGTAGATGACATGACAAATGGCATGAAAACTAAGATGTCGTGGTAAAAGACATCAATACATGAGCTATTGGCAAAAGACATCAACACATGGGCAACTTATGCATGAGACTATAAAAGTTTAACAATGAGTATTTTTGTCATTTACCACGTATTTTTTTTTTTTAAAATTATTCTTGCTAACCAATCATTAGAATAATTATAATAGTAGTTCTCATCTTATTTCATTTTCATGAATCAAACTATGCACTAACTGTTTTTTTCTTATTTTAATTCTATTTTCCTCTATTCTATTTCGTGAACTTAACATGCCTTAAGAGTTTTAATACTTTACAATTTCTAGCAATTCAACAGCTTGATATTTGCCCACAAAAAATATAAAGAACTATCAAACACAAGAGAAAAAATAAAAATACATTAGATTTAAATAAATGTAATTTGATGGATGTAAAGTTGACATAATTAAAATAATATTCGACTTTCACACATATCGTAAATAAACAGAAATACATATCATAAAAAAAACTAATAATAACTTTGCAATCATCATATATTGATGATTTAAACGAACATTCTTTTTCCCAAGCTTTCAAGTCCCCGTAACCATTCTAAGTAAAATAAAATTCAGAAAAATATTACGCAATAATGAGACATAAATATTATAATAATTATTATAATTTTACATCAATTACAAATGGAAACAAAAAAAAAAACAAAACAAAGAAAAGTTAAAATAACAAAATAAAAAATAATGTTAATAAACATGAAAAAACAAAAAAAGAAATCATGTTTTTAATGGTACTAACCAAAGAAACGAATGCATTAATCATTACTGGTTAAACTGAAAGATAAAAGCATATATTATAATATATCATGGAAAAATTAATTTATAAGCATTATTATAAGTTTAGCACATTAGTTCTTAATTATTTACAACATGACATTAAATTTAATTTTTAGTATAAATTAAAGAGCTTAAATATTATTTTTTTGCATAAATTTATTTGACCAAAGATTAATTATAATTAATTCAATACCTTTTAGAAATTTGACATTAATCACTGAAGTGTTTAGCGGCTTTCCCAAAATAGCAAAAAAAAAAAAAAATTCAAAAAGGAATGCTCATGGCAGCTCGTTGTTCTTGTCATGGTTATTTTTGAACCTCATAATAAAATCCCAACTAAAGAAAACAACATACCTCCAAAAGAAAAACATAGGAATAAGATTCAAAATAAATAAACATGTTTCTTCAAACAAATATTTATATTGCATTAAGTTTTTTTTTTGTATAATTTTACTTTAATATAATTTTTTAATCTTTGATAAGAGTATAAATAATTCGATAAGTGCGTCTAAAGTCAAAATGGAAATTCGCCCCAATTCCAAATAGTGCTGGTTGTCCAACTGGTTGCTTGAATTGATTTCTGACTACATAGTCAAGTAAAAGAAAAAAAAAATACAGGACATTTTAGAAGAGAAGTAAAAACACAACTAGAACATAAAAAATAAAAACTAAATATGATAGGTAGGCATGTAGTTTTATACATGAAGGTATAATGGTGCTAATATATAAATTTAACATCTTGGTATATGGTGTATTTTTATTTTATCATTAAAGTCATAATGGTGCAACATAGATATTCAATATCTTTGACATGGAATTCTTATTATGCAATAAAGATAAAATGGTGCTTGTGTGAACATATACCTTGATATGTTAATTTGACTTTTTGATTGAACATTAAGGTATAATGGTCTTGATTGAGAAAGATGGAAATGTGTGTAAGCTTGTAAAGTTTTTGTATGGATTAGAACAAACACTTAAACAATGACATCAAAGGTTGATGAGGTTGTTCTAGCTAATGGCTACAAGATTAATTAATTTGACAAATGTGACTATAATAAATTCTATAATAGAATTTGAATTTTAGCATTAATAGCTACTGAAAGGAAGAGAAATGGTTGAAAATTTTGTTATTAGATATAAAGTTGTGACCACAATTGGTGCTAGTCATTTTCATATATTGTGACAATGAAGTAATAATGTGTGTAGCACACAATAAGATGTATAATGTAAAGTTTAGACATATAAGTTTACCACATGCCTACTTAAGAGAATTAGGCTTAAATGGCACTGTAACAACAATTTATGTTAAATCTTGCAAGAATTTGACTAATCCACTTACCAAAGCTTTGCTAAGAGAGGTTGTAAAATCAACATCTATATGAATATTGAAGGGTAAGGAAAAATTCTACCTATATGAATATTGAAGGGTTAAAAGGGTTTACTCTTGTAAATATTCATGAAACTAGGATTAGCACAAATGCCATATAAGTGCTAAAGCTGTTGGCAAAATCTTAAAGCGATTAGATAATATTATGTATGTGATAATTTCAGTTATGACATAAAAATTTGTGGTTCAAATCTTTGAGATATTTTCTATACTAGTAGAAAGTTCAAATCTTTGAGATATTTTCTATTATGCATAATATTATTAATATAAAAACTAGTAGAAGATTGTTGGATAGTTTGTAATATTTGAGAGTTTCATATTGGAAGGTAATTATTCAAGATGTAATTGATCAAATTAAAGATAACTCTTTGAATAAATAGAAATGGTTTCAACAAACACAACTATAAGAAATTGGTCTATAGACACGTTTATTGAAACACAATAGACACATCTATAGAAACACTATAGACATATCTATTGACACAACTTTTCGGTGTCTATAAAAAGAACATACTTCCAAAATAGACTTGAACCTTAAAAAGCATTCTGCAATAGACTTGTTATATCTTGGAGTGTTATTATCTATAAATCCCTATAGCAGGCAACAATTCTTTAAAGAAAGTGTATTGCAACATGCCTTAAGCCTTTTTTTCCTCTTTTTTTATACTATTTTTCCTAATAGACTCGATCCCCTCCAAAAGCCTTCCTTCACTTGAGGGGGGCAGACTTTTGCTTGGAGCAACTACATTGCTCTTGGTGTGGTTAAGCTAGAGACATATTCACACATCCTTCTCACATGCCATTTTAGTTGGACAGTATGGGTTATTGTTCTTCAATGGTGAGGGATATTAGGGTCCTCTCCTTGTAATATATCATCCTTTTACAGTCTTGGGTTGGTTGTGCCTTGGTAAGCGACACACACTAGCAGTGGATGATAGTTTGTGGTGCCACGTTTTGGTTTCTGTGGTTGGCTCATAATGAGTCAATTTTAGCGACAAAGAATGGGAAGGGTTGAAATATTCTTTCTTATTAAAATGTGATCTATCCTCTGGGTGTGTGCATGTGATGGCGTTGATGTAGTTGATGATATTAGTTGGTGGTTTGAACTTGAAACACATCTATTATACGGTCCCTCCTCCACTCACGACTAAGGGTCTTTTAGATACCCTTATCTGAAGGTGAGTTTAAATTCAATGTGGATGGCTTAGTAAGGGGT